AATATTATTAGCTGGATAGAACATTTAGTCATGCCCTCCTAATTTTATACGATTGATGAAACAATTTTTTACTTAAAATACTTGCTTTTAAATTTGGCATTCGGAGAAGCAAGTAAAGCGAGATATAGCGCGGGCACGGCACTCTCTGTTTGTCTAGCTCTCTCTCACGTAGCGGGCTCTCTTTCCCTCGCATGCTCACTATGTATGATCAGCGTTGTCTGTTATCAGAAATCGGAATACAAAAGTCAGAATGCTCGAAAGTTACATACATACTTACATGTACATAAGTACGTCCGCGTAGTGTAGACATTATCAATTTAAATTAATAACGCTTCAAGAACTAATTCCCGTGTCTAGATAAGAGCGTTTGATATTGATAGTTCTTTGTTTTGGTTTTGTCAGCCTTATAAATCGCCCCCATTACGCGCCTTGGCAACCAACTTATGAACATATGTGTGTATGTACAGTGGGCTGCAAAAGTGAGTACATACTCACAATCACTGACTTTAGCCTCCCATAACAGGCAAACGAATAAAGCCAAACAAACCAAATTTGTTCCCCATATAAATACTTGTATTCTTAAAAAATAAACAATAATTACAAGAACGAGTAAAAATTTTTCAAAGAATGAAAAGTAAAAAACCAAAAGAACTCGCATGTACTCGGTTTTGCACTTTTTCATAAAAATTAAAGTAAATCATAATATTAACATTTTGCGCATAGACCCATATTAGATATTACTTTTTTAATACGGCTTGGAATGTTCTCTATCAAATTCCCAAAAATATCTTTTGAAATTGGATTGCACTCCGCATCTATACATCCCCAGAGATCGCCTTGGTTAGATGGCGCTGATTCGTAGTGCTCAAGCCGTCGTTTCACGATTGACCGTAGGCTTTGAATCGGATTAAGGTCGGTTCTTTGAGATAACCACTCCAGCAATTTAAAATTTTGATTAACCAGTCATTCTCGAACATTTTTCGCAATTTGCTTCGGATTCCTGTCTTGTAAACAAGTTAGTTAAATTCAGGATAAATACATTTCTCCGGAAAATTAAGAAGTTAGGCTTGTAGAAGTTGTAAATAGTCCTCTCTGAACTGAATAACATAAATTTTTTGTAGAGGACCAACGTGCTACCATGTAAAGCAACTTCAGACCATAGTAATAAGGAATAATATGAAATATTGAAATATTATGGTCTGAAGTTGCTTTACATGGTAGGGCTCGCGCACACTATAGCTGAAAGCGGAGCTGAAATCGACGCTGAAGTCAGAGTTGAAAGCTCAGCTGATCTGAGAGCTTTTCTCAGGCAGAATCAGCTTGCAGGTGCGTACATTGTCGGCTGATCTGATTGCTGAAAGCCACTGCCTCCCTTTGTCTATCTCATTAAGTGGCATCAATAGATATCATTATAATTATTATTATTATATTGTTAATGAATTATTACTTCACAGCACGTACAGTAGCCAGACGGAAGTTTTCTTCGTTTTTTTTTTTTTTTTAATTTAGTGTATTTTAACCACATTTCCGTTGAGTTTGTATTCGTATTTCTTTTATTTTACGAATTATTATTACATTTTTACATTACATTGGTAATGGTAAATAATACAACTTTTTTGCCCAATTTATCGTCTTCCAGAAATTATAGAAATAAAACTATTATTCAAATTTTTTTAATAGTCCCGCTTATTCCCCAGCACTGGGTTAACCGTAATTTCGCTTAACAATGTTGTGCAGCCCATTTTCGATCACTTATGAACCAATACACTTGAACAAAATCAGCAATCAGCTTGCTGAAAAAACAAACATGCTTGATCGATCAAACTAAGCTGAGCTGATTTGAGCGAGCTTTTTCAGCTTTCAGCTCAGCTCAGTCTGCAATGTGCGCACTTGCACCGGTGCAGTGTGTTTGTTTTTCCAGAGCTGAAAAATTAGCTTTCAGCAACAGTGTGCGCGAGCCCTTAGGCCCTGGAAAATTAAATTTTTAATTTTATTTTGGATAATAGGTTAGGTTAGGTTAACCCGGACGGCCCTCAGCGGGGCCACGCATAGGCCAATATGGCCCTTAGTTATCCGGATGGGGGGGATGAACCGTCGCGGGAGTGTTAATGTGGTTTTAAAAGTCCCCGAGAATCGAGGTGTTTTTAGCATAGGCCAGCAGTTCCTGTGGCGTCCTTTTGGAGGCATCTTCCAGTGATGCCAACACTGGGGCGCCCAGGTATCTCCTCCTTGCCCATGATAGAGCCAGACAATTGCAGATGAGATGTTCCAGGGTTTCGATAGCCCCAGGTTCCTCACATTTCCTACAACTGTCTCTGTTGGTGATGCCTAGCTTTGCTGCATGTGCAGCAGCCAGACAGTGACCTGTTAGTATTCCCACTATCAGTCTACAGTCCTTTCGTGGTAGGTGCAGTAGGTAGTGGCTAAGTTTCTCGTTGCGCTCCTTGCACATTATCTTCGAGGTTCTGCAGGTGGTGGTACTCCTCCACCTGCTATCTGTCTGTGCTCTAGCCTGCTTCTCTAGATCGCCTTGCAGCGTTCTGAGGGAGACAGGCACGTTCTCGGTTCTCCTATTCTCCAGCCCGACGCCTTCCGCTAGTACGTCCGCCGCTTCGTTTCCTTCGATGCCCTGGTGGCTGGGAACCCAATAGATCCGCACTGTCTTTGTCGTGCTTAGGATGTCTAATGCCTCCCTGCTCGCCAAGACACTTCTGGAACTGACCGCGGACGACTGCATGGATCTTATCGCCGCTTGGCTGTCGACGAATAGGTTGACCGCATCGTGTGCTCGTTCTGTGAGGAGAGCGACCTCCGCTGCTTTCCCGATGGCAAAAACTTCTGCCTGGAATATGCTGCATTGGTCCGGTAGCTTATACGACAGCCTTATCTCAGGGTCTGTACAGTATAGGCCCGCTCCTACTCCTCCGTCCATCTTGGAGCCGTCTGTGTATATATTGAGGTGCTCACCTCTGTCATTGATGTCGGTGCTTCCCCACACATTGTGGTGGGCATTGGCGTCCGTTCCGATGACGAGTTGATAGTTTTTGGTGCCGGCTTCTGTCACCAGGCTCCTGAGTTCGTCGGGTGGTGCGGGTCTGTCGTGAGCCATGTAGCAGGAAGCCACCAGAAGGCGCTTTTCCTCACTTTCCAGCATCACAACCGTCAGGTCATCCGTGCTGTAATGAGACATAAGGTAAGCATGGATTCCCTTTCGTACGAGTATGACGGTTCTGTTCCTGCTTACCGATGTTCAGTAGAACAGGTTATGATTTGAGGACTTTAGTCCGGCCACTGCATTGCCTGTCGCAATCCAGGGCTCCTGGACTAGAGCTATGTCGGCGAGCCCTTGCTCCATGGCGATGAGGAGCTCCGCCGACGCTACCTTGCTTTTATGCAAGTTGAGCTGCAGCACACTCAGCATGGGTGGCTGGCTCACTTGCACCTGACGGGTTGACTACCAGCGTCAGGTCACCGTCTTCCTCTTCTTCGTCTTCAAGCGCAAGACCCTGGGCGGCCTCCACTATGGACTCGAGACCTAGGTCCTTTTCCACCTCGCCTGCCTGCAGGGTATGCGCGTCCTTGTCCTCAGGGTGGCGCTGATCTTCCCGAATGGCCATGCCCCACGCCATCTTCCCGAACTTGGGGTATAGCAGATCCTCTGCTTCCTTGTTTATTTGGAGGATCACACATTGGCCCCCCTCGTTGGGTAGTGGGCTACCAATGTGTAGGATCCTCCAATCGGCCGTTGGCACGTCCGCGTTTTGCCGCTGACGGAGCTTCAGCGCTCGGTCCCCCTGGATTGTGATGGGGAAGAGTACCTTCGCCTTAGGCTTGGACGGGATAAGCTCCCGGTCCACAACCTCCAGCTTGGCCCCCTCCCACATCGCCTCCAGTTGGCAGACCGTACGCGTCAGCCACCTTAGGGTTGGATCATCATTGCACTTCAGGATCTTAACCTCATTTAGCCACCCAGCACCATCGAACGTGGGCATTGGGGCCGCGGGGTCTTCCTCCATCTGTGCAAAGAGTGCGTCGACGAGACGCGCGTGCACCAGCTTCCACTGTGCCGCTGACATCTTGCCGTTTTCCTCGCTGCGGTCAATGAGTGCCACGATCAGATGTCGTTTGGTCACATCGCTGACTCTTGGGCTGCACTCTTGGGCCCGCGTTGCCGCTTGCTCGCTGGAGTGTCCTTAATGGCACTCTCAGTCGAGCGTTGCCTCTTGGTGGCCATCATCTCCTCCACCTTATTGGCATATTCGCCATTCGACGCCCTCATCTGTGGCATCTGAGCATAGTGTAGCCGACCCTCCTCTACTCTCTGCTCGGCCCAGGCTAGCTTGACCTTCTCCTCCTGGGAGATGTCTGCTTTACCTTGCAGCCGGCTTTTTATGTTGAGGGGGGACCACCCCCTAGCATTTTAGGCCTGACCGCCAGGCACCTCTAGCCATGGCCCTGGTTCGGTTCCCCCGACTTTGAATCGGGAAGACGCCGGACCATAGCCTTAGCTAGACACTGCATTACCCCGGACAAGGGTAATGCACTGTCGCTTGCTCTGTCCGGGGTAATGCAGTGTCTAGCTAAGGCTATGGCAAAGTACGAGTCCGCACCAAAAACGCAGGGCATTAGACAAAATATAAAAAAAGGTATTCATTTAACAAATTTCAGACTTACAAAAGTTAAATTTGAATATTTAATTATTTGATATTTAAAAAAGCAGTGAAATCCGAGTCTTTATAACTTTGACTGTCTGTCCGCCTGTAACTCTTATTTGACGCCTCGCTTTCAGAGACTATAATAGCTTAAGCTTGAACAAATTTCTGTTCTGTTTATTTTCAAAAAATAACGAGCGGTTACGTTCTGATCCGCAGTCCTCAAAATGCCATCATCTACATGTGTAGAACGCGAACGCGTTACTGCCTTTTTGAAACGCGCTAGTGTATTTTCCGAGTATTCCCACCAACGGTCCTACCCGTTCTTTGTTTTGGTTTTTTTGCTGCTTAAAACGCATTTAATTTGTCAAAAAACATGTCATACGCCGGCTACAGCCAGCTGCCCAGCGGCAGCGACCACGAGCAGCGCCAGCAGCAGCTGGCTGCGAACACTTACGATATCCTGCAGCGTACGGGCGACAGCATTCAGCGCTCCAACCAGATTGCAATAGAAACTGAGAATATGGGGGCGGAGGTCAGTGCAAAAAAATATGTTCAATGAGTTCCCTGGTATTTAGATAATGCTCTACAGGTGCTCGGCGAGCTGGGAGAGCAACGCGAGTCTTTGCTCCGCACCACGCGTCGCCTGGAAGATGCCGACCAGGATCTGTCCAAGTCTCGCGTCATCATTCGCAAGCTCGGCCGCGAAGTCCTGTACAACAAGATTATACTGATACTTATAATCATATTGGAGTTGGGCATACTCATTGGCCTGCTGGTGCTAAAGTTCGCCCACCTGTGAGAGCTACTGGAAGTGGACCCTTGTTTTTATTCCAAAGTTATAATGTACCCAGCGATTAATTCGGGCATTTGATTACGTTTATTTGAATTGTTCTACCTGTAACATCAACGTTAAGCCCATGCCTTAGACACACACTAGAGTAAGTTACATTTCGCATTATAATAATAAACACAGATAATATAGTTGGAAGTTCTCCGCCCCGCTCCCATATCCCAGTCCAGTCCCATCTCTGTTCTACATCCGGGGTTTGCAGGAACTATGATAATTCGAATATGTATGTATAATAACCACGACTATTTGGCATAAAAGCAAAGTTAGTTACACTCAGAGGGCGACAAATTTGCATGCGACTCTAAAACACTTAGAACAATGTTTGTATGTATAATACTGGATCTATGATTATGGTAACACACAAGAACGAGCCCCGAATCTAGATCTAGACAACTAAGCGCGGATGATTTGTTCGAGAGATATTCGGGTTCTTAAAGCGGTTATTTTAGATCATAGTTTTCTCTTCTTTGGGCCGTATGACTGCAGCTCAGTGTTTGAGTCATTTTCAGTTGTCCTTCGGCAGCACGATGGACCAGCCGAAGACGCGTCGATCGAAGCCGCACGAGAACAAATCACAATTCAGCAGTGGCTCCTCTGCCCAGACCACCGACGACACCATGCGTCGATGCCCCTGGCGGCTGGTGCGCGGCAATCGGGCCACGCGCTGTCCATTCAAATCGAACAGGCGAATCTGGCGGTTGTCGTGGGGTATTGCGATGATTCCTCCGGTGGAAACGGCCAGGCGGTTGACGGACGAGTCGGTGCGTATGGTGGCCAAGGCCGAGCGCATGTTGCGCAACTCCCAAACCTTGACGGTGCGATCGTCGGATCCGGAGACCACCTTATCGTCCCGAGCAAAGACGCTGGATGTGACGGTCTCTGTGTGTCCCTGGAAGACGGAGACTGCTGGTATGGGATCCCTGAAATCCCACAAACGAAATGTAGTATCGCGCGAGGCGGTCACCACCAGGCGCTGGGTGGGATGAGCCGAGACGTGAGTGAGCTCGTGATCGTGTCCCGTCAATGGCTGTAGTGGCTGACTCGTCTCCACGTCCCACAATATGGCGGTGCGGTCCCAGCTGCCGGTGATGATCTGATCCATGCTGGACAGCCAGTCGGCAGCCACCACCACGGAAAGGTGGCCACCCGGGCCGGTAAACTCGCAGAGTGGAGTGCGTAAGGTGTCGACGCGATCTCGATCCTCAACCTGCTCATCGCTATCGTCGAGTTCCTCCTCGGACGAGTGGCCTTTTCTGTTGAGAAAAACAGAAGGAAAGGATGATGTCAACGTTCCACGCTTATTTGTCGATCACTCACTTGGGCACCTCCCAATTGACGGCCGCTTGCCAAATGTGAGCTGTTCCATCACCACTTCCAGTCAGCACGAGGTCCCGATTCTGATTGAATTTGATGGAATTCACGGACCCGGCGTGCCCCTGATACTGCAGCAGGCAACGGGCGCTCTCTATTCCCCAAATACAGGCTGTGTGATCGGCCGAGGCCGTGCCAATGATGGGTTGACCCGCTTTGGCAGCCACCTGCCAGATTCCGTCCTTGTGACCACCAAACTCCCGTACCACCGAGCTGACGACCGTCTGCGCCTTGAAGCTTGAGACAATGCGACTGGTCTGGGCTTTGATTTTGTTGCTCGCCTTTACCTTGCTGCCACCAGTGGCACTGCTAAGTTTAGCCTTGAGGCTCTTGTGTGTGCTGGAGGCGGCCGCCAGAAAGCTGGCACCAACTTCGTCTGCTTGTGTGCTCGTCGAGGGTGTGGCGGCGGTGACCGAAGAGCCACCAGTTGCGAGGGCGGGAATGACTGTGCCTGCTGCAAAGCGCTCACGTTCGCGTGGCTCGTGCGAGGTCAGCGATTCTTTGTTGCTGGTGGCGTTCTCAAGTTTCTCTTGCACTGCAACAAAGGCGGAGTTCCCTTGGGTTATTGAGTGGGTTCAGTTTTGCAATTACAATTACTCACAGTTCAGATTCTCCAAATAGAGCTGCTCGAACTCCTTTTCTATCTGCGAGAACAGATAATGGAGGCGAGTTCGGTACGGGGCATCCTCAGGTATGTTGGCCATGTCTTCGGTGAGGCTCGTAAGTCGGGCCGCGCGTGCCTTTGTTGCTGTTGCTTTCATTTTGTGCGGGGTCGCGCAGATGTGGGTGCACCGTGTATTTGTTTTGTGTATCTACTAGATATTTTTCCTGCCTCCCGCAAGCCGACCTCTGCCTGTCACTGTGTGTCACTCAATCCAATTAGCAGTTTTGGGTTAGTTTTAGCTTCAGCGTTATTGATCCACCTTCATGAGGCCGTGCCGTGTCGAGTCGGAATTGTTTAGTGCGGAATTGGTTTCTTTATTTTTGCAATGATAACGAAACAGCTGGAGGGTTGTGTGTTTGTGTGCTCGTCCGATATCGTGCTGTGACTATCGTTTGTAGCTCATCTCTAACTTGTTGACACGATACCCATGAAAATTGAAACTTGAACAATTTCAGCGCAGACCAGGTGAACAATTGTTCGGTTTTTTTTTTAGGTTCAGAGGAAATATGGCATGGCATGGCATTCAACTATATAATGGTATATTTGATCTACTTCAGCAATCTATAAAATTTAATTTTCAAAGTTATTTTTAAGAAAATTTTACAAACTTCTATACGCAGGTTCTTTGAATTTTCGCTCTCAAATCGAACTTACGTGCATAATTTGTTTCAATGCATTGCACTTAAATCCTTTTCGCTTACTCACTTTCAAACCATGATGCAATTATACAAGGTGGTCTCGTGGGGAGCCGAAGTTCGTTCGTGTTGTCCCTTATCGTTAGTGCGTGTTTGCTTTGTGAGGCGCCAATACATGGTAAAACTAGTTAGTCTCTGTTTTAAAGTTATCACATTAAAATTTTGCAGTTTTTTTTTCTTATTACAGAGACAAAGAATTGGTATCGGGATCAGAATATATATACAGGAAATTATCTTTATTAATTACGTTTTAAAGCACTAGCTTCATAATAAAATAAATGAAATGGGGTATGCAAAGGCCCATACTCGGTTGATAAGCAACAAGTATTCAAATATGTATGTACGTATGTATGTATGTACCAGAAACATTGACGTGACAACATTTCGACCGTTTTTTTTTTTTTTTTAATCTTTTTTTTATAAATTCATCAAGCGTATAAAATTATGATGGCATGGTTAAATGTTCTATATAGCTAGTAATGTTCGTCGGAATATCAAAAACGAGGAATATGTAAAATAGAACTTGAATTCGTTAGTATATTACGGTATATTTTGAAAATGAGGCGGTATGTTTTCGTATATTTCTGAGGGTCGGACGGTATATCTTATCGATAAATCCGCGGTCACACTGCGTACTTGTGTGTTTGTTGTTTAAAATATGTACGAGGTTTTAACGATCTCGACCACCATTTTACTTGACACATCAACAGCTGTGCAATAGTACGCCGTTAGCTTTCCTGGGCCCCTTTCGAGCAGCATTGCGCATACCATTGAACCGGTTTTCCACTGCCGCTTCTCGATTTTTCGGCGTGTTTTGCCCCACATGCATTTCATTGCACTGCCAACTGCCAGCTGATTTATAATTGGATATCTGAGCCCCACTGTCGGTGCCAACGAACTCCCTCGCTTACATTTCGGCATCACTGTCCGTGCTACCGTCCTTCATTCCTCTATTTGCACTGCTAATAAGATGAAAAACGTTTTAGATGTCATGTCTCTGCAGCAGCACGTGGAGTCGAGCAAAGCCCAGGCCCAACTTAAGCCCCTTGACTACCGGTGAGTCCAAAGCTTAATGTCCAGCCAATCCATTCTTAATTGCAAGTCTTGCAATTGTTTGCAGCAAGACGAACATGCCTGGTATCGTGCCTCTTTACATATTCGAGTGTGCCACCAAGCTAAAGATGAAGCCGCTGACTGCCGCGTGTGCCGCCATTGTCTACCATCGATTCTTCAAGGAGGTCAAGCCCACTGATTATGATGAGTTCGTGAGTACAAACTTAATGCCCAGCGAAGTGATATCTCATGAGTACCTTCCTTGCCAGCTAATTGCCGCGTCTTCGCTGTACCTGGCTGGCAAAATCAAGGATGACGATTCGGTGAAAATACGCGATGTCATCAACGTGGCATACTGCACACTGAACCGTGGCAATGCTCCGCTGGATCTGAACGACGAGTACTGGTCCATGCGCGATGCCATTGTTCAAGCAGAGCTGCTCATAACCCGCACCCTAGGGTTTGACTTGAACATAGATCTAGCTCACAAGGTAATCCCTTTGTAAAGATCCTTGTCCTCCCTTTTTAACTGATTCTATTCTGCCTTCAGTACCTTCTCTACTATATGAAGACCCTTCAAGACTGGGTGGGTGCCGAGGTGTGGAACTCGGTGCCGATAGCCAAGGCGGCCGCCTCGTACCTGCAAGACTTTCACCACAGCGCCAACATACTTAAGTACAAGCCCACTCATGTCGCCATTGGCTGCCTGTCGCTGGCTATGCAGACGTACGGCATACAAGTGCCGCTCACAGATGAGGCGGAGGAGGGTTCCATGTGGTACAAGCCACTCGTAAAGGATTTTACCAGGGAACAGCAGTGGGAGATCATCGAAAATGTAATTGAAGTGTACAAGAACGAAGCTCTCCTGAAGGCTGCATAATCTCGCATCGAAGGCAGGACTCTGCTGTAATTGGCATTCCCATTTGAATTTATTTATTATTCGGTCACAAATCATCAAACACTGAAATCTTATATGTACTTTAGTCAGCTGTCTCAAAATGTTTATTGCATGCATACCTCCATAAAAAATAGGAAATAGAAACCGGTTTAAGCAAAATAAAGTCTTTTGCATGTATGAAAACCATTCTTTTAGTTAAAGATGACCGGATAACTCTTTTTTTTGCTGATTTTCGATAAGATTTTTATATTTTTAAATCTAATTTTGGTTAAGATTAAGAAAATAGAAAATGTTTATATACCTTGGAAGGATACCTTGGATTCATTTCAAGCCACTGACCAGTTAGGCTTTGAATTTATTTGTTTAAATCTTATTTTAGCATTTCTTGTAGAAATTACATATATGTTCGGTGCTGATGGTTCTATCTAGCTAGTAATACTAAACCGAATATCAAAGTCGAGGAATATGATTTCCGATCATGGACTGAAAACGATTATCCCATTTTCAGCCAGTGGACATTAAAATACACTCTTAAAGAATTATAGCGCAGTTCAGGTGAAAAACATCTCGGTAACTTATGTGGTAAGAAAAGAGAAGAGATGGATATGCCACGAAATTTAAAAAGAGTATTATTTTTCGCAGTGTAACTTAAGTTGGCCACCTGTTTAAAGAGAGGGGGTTGAGTGGGCTAGATTCGTTTTTCATTGGTATATTGGTATGGGATCGAAATAGCTTGAAAAAAATAATGTTTAAATTAATGAAAGAAAACAGGGTGTACAAATTTCCATACTACCGGTTGACGCGCACCAATTGTTCAAATACCAGCAACATGTAAGAAGTGCCTTGTGCGGCATGCCTACAGTGGATTTCAAATGACAGAAAATCGAGATTCGGTTCATACCACCGATCTAAATTAAGACCTGGTTCTTTAATCCAAAAAAACAGCTGGTATTCTTATCGATACATCGATGACGTGTGTCCCGCAGGTGCTTTCACTAACCTCCAACAACAATACAATGCTTCTATAAACAAAACAGAATTTTGTTAACAAAGCATTTTTTGATCAAATTAAAATACACAATGCGAAAGACATGGGTGAAGCGTGAGAACATCTACTACAAGCCATTCTACCGCCAGAAATCGAAAATGTTCCTGCTGCTGATCTTCCTGGTCGGAATATCGTTCATCGCCTATCAGGTACAGGTACCCCCCCATTCCGGCATTCTGGCCGCCGTAAATGTGTAAATGTAAATGCGAAATGTGTACAAAAATGTGTATAATATATAAACGAATAATAGGCCTTCTCGCTGAACCAGCTGCCCGCCGTGCCCACGCCTTGGAACCTGCAGCAGCTGCGTCGCAAGCACAAGGAAATGATGCAGTCCCTAGGCAGCAAACAGCGCGACGTGGACCCCTTCGATGGGGGTGGGGCAACGGAAGCAAGAGCTGCGGCCGCGGCTGTTCTGGACGGGTCATCCGCTCCCGATGTGGAGCCCATCAAAATTATTCGGTATGTCCCGTCCCGACATTGACCTGTTGCACGGCCATTTTTGATTTTTTCCTCTTATCCCGCACAGAGGTACGCGCCTCTTCGACTATGACGCGTACAAGCCGAACTTTGAGGGGAAGTTCAAGTGTCTGGACGGCAGCAAGGAGATAGCCTTCAACCGTTTGAACGACGACTACTGCGACTGCGAGGGCGACGGCAGCGATGAGCCCAGCACGAATGCCTGCGCCAACGGGCGCTTCTACTGCCGCTACCAGAAGCGCCACATAACGGGGCGCGGCCGGGACAAGTATGTGGCCAGCAGTCGGGTGAACGACCACGTATGTGATTGCTGCGACGGCAGCGACGAGTGGACGACACATGCCAAGTGCCGCAACGACTGTGCGTAGTTCCGGGCCCTGCATAGCAGAGCCCTGGACTGGACCGATGAAGTTAACGCGCAGACCTCCTCCTCCTCCACCTCCGCCAAGGACAAACAAATCTCAAGGATGAAGCAGTCTGGCGCATCACACGCGATATTTTTTTACAAGTACAATAGAATTGTAATTTATTTTAAAGTAAGTAGTAGATTGAATAAAAGAAACAAACTGAAGAGCAAGTGTGTGTAAATGTATTCGTATATGCTTATTCATTTTATTACCAGACTCGCATGGATCAGTAGAATTTACATGAGGGAACTCTATTAATCGTATCATTGGGAAGTGGACTTCACTTCCATTTACCTTAGCACGTTTACTTCGCAGCTTTTCCATTTATAATGTTCATAATAGTAGGGTATAAACACATACACGTTGTGCATCTGCAACTGCAACTGCATCTGCCTCTGTATTTGCAGTGCAGGTGTATTGTATGACTGTTTTGTTTTGTTTTTTGTTACTATATGTATGTAGTATCTTGTATGTATATTCTTGCCTAAATTGTCCATGTTTGCGTGTGTGAATTTTAAGCCGTACAATTTACTTTACACTGACAAACTCTAAAGCAATTTTGAACTGCAAATTCTACCAAGGTACGAAATTTTGTGTTGTGTATGTACGGGGCCTGGGGTACGGTGGTACTCTCCCTTCTATGCACTATATAATTTAACTTGATTTCTCTTTAAAATGGGCCCCAAGATGGGATCATGACGGGCCACTCTGTCATCTCTTGTCTCTGGGCTAAGCGAAAGCGGTAAGATCCCACATGTTTCCATGCACTATAGTATAAGGAACGCGCGCCACACTATGGCTTGACAAATGTTAATCTTATTCGCATTGAGTAGTACTTCCTACTGCGCAGCACAACCAGAATATACACTACTAGTACACAATACAAATATCAAGGAGATTGACGATTGCTTGCTGTCTCTCTAATCAGACGATCAGACGACTTAATATTGCTCCACGAATGGATCTAGATCTGGGGCTAGCCGCACAACTGATTGAAGCTACTGAGGTTCGTCCTACATTATAAAGTACATCTTCATCTTGGTTGCAACTTAAGAGATATCATTACTAAACTCTAAGTAATACTTAATCAGAGGGTTTGCTTGTTGTGGTGTTTCGGGGAAGGTGGAGTGTAGTTTGGGGTGGGGGGATCTACACTGAATATAGCGTATGCGGCGACTGTGCCGGAAGATATCGAATACGTAAATTCCTTGGGAGAGGAGAGGGTACTTAAAACGAAGATTGCTTGATTGCTACACTTACGATTTAGGCTGGATGAAGTTAATTAATGTGCGCAAATCACAAATCTTTCTCAATTATCAATAAATAGCTTGGAGTGTTTGTATACATAAAGTGGTGAAAAATTCGATACATACATATATATATATACTCGTATTATATATATATAGACACATATATATATATATATATATTTAGGTGTTTGTATATGGTATTGCACTGATGAGATTTTTGCTTCAGTTTTTTGGGCCAATTACGCAAATGAGATATGAGCGGGAAAAAAAATTGGAATAAATAAATATACAACATAGAGATACGCATCTTTCGACATGACTTTGAAACTTAAATAGATAGACGCGACGCGCACGATACACATGGATGCGAAGTACTAGAGTACGAGTAGAAGTAGAGGGCTGGCGACGGGGCTGGGGCTGGGGCTGGGGATGGTCTTGGATGCTTCGACTTAAGGTAAGGTTCTAAGAAACATTCTCTCATACAAGTATACATATATAAAGTTAATTAAAAATAAGGGGAGGGGGTGTACGAATCTAACGGCAAAGCGTATAATACAATTTTTGTAGTTTGCGTTTCGAGCGACACTGATGATGGTTGTGGTGATGGTGATGTCTGTGGGAGTGCGACTGCGACTGCTGTTGTTCTTGTGACTGCTGTGGATGTTGCTGCTGCTGCGGCTGCTGTAGATGCATATGCTGGTGGTGGTGATGATGATGATGATGATGATGGCGTGGCAGCACTTGTCCTGGCGGCAGTAGCTGCGGTTGCGTATGGCTATGATGATGATTATTTACATTTGCCGCTGCTGCTGAAGCGGCTGACGACGTAGATGCGGCGCTGAGGGCCACCGCCGATGAAATCAGGGCCGCCGCCAAGCGCGACGAAGACGACGACAGGGACAGGTCTGCGGCCAGCAGCTGCTGGTGGTGCCGTCGCAGCTGCTGCACCTGCTTGCGCTTCAGAGCAGCGGTCCCCTTCCTCATTGCATGCAAGCGACGCCTGTGATGATGTGGATGCAGTTGAAGCTGTCACTTTGCCTCTTCGCTGGCATCCAGAAGATTGTTGCTGCCATTGTTGGTCGCTACCGTTGCCACTGCAGCTGCTGCCGCTGCCGCCGCCGCCGCCACCGCCACTGCAGACTGATCGGTGACTCCCTGCTGCTGCTGCTGTTGCTGCTGCTGAAGTTGCTGCTGGTTCAGGGCATGGACGTGTTGGCAGAAGGCCTGTAGAACCTCGAAATGGGTCATTAGGTTCGCCGGCTGGTTGTCGTAGTGCAAGTGCCTCGTGATCGGCGCACTCAAGCGCCTCAGCATCTCTGTGAAGAGCTTCTCCTCCTTCCGTATCCAGGGTCTGCGGTCATCCTGCACCTGGTAGGGTGTGAGGTGGACGTGTATGTTCATGCCTGGACGAAAATCAGTTTCACTCAGTTAATAATACACTTTTTGAATGCCCTGAGGTCTCGAACAAGTGCCTACCCATGCGTGTGAGTGTCTCCAGGAGACTCCGGGACGTGATCCATGTGTTCTTCTGGCCCCCGTGGCCACCGTCCAGCCAGTACATGTCCGTTATGCGAGAAAGCAGTCGGCACATGCTGCTGTCATCGGGCGTGAGGGTCTTCAGATAGTGGAACTCGTAGATGAACTGCAAGGAAAGCGAACAAGGAAGAGGACCGTGGTCAGTGAGGATCATGGAGCTTCCCGTTGTTGCGGGGACAGAGCCAAGTATGTCAACGACTTAACGAACCAAACGCGACTCACTTGATTGAGCACGACGCAGCCCTTGCTGAAGCCAATGAGCACCAGCTTGGACTTGTCTAGATTGAGGTTCTCCCGCCACCACAACGGATTGCTATCAGTCGCCACCGGCGCTGTCTGCCGCGCTTGTCCGCCCAGTGCGGCCTGCCCCTGGCCCTGTCCCGTGGCACATTCGCTGTTGCTGTTGTTCAAATTGTTGTAGTGCTCCACGTTGTTGGTGGCTGGCAGAGCCACTGGTGCAGCTATTTTAACTGGCGACGACTCCTGCTGTTGTTGCGGCTGCTGGTTGTTCGACTCCTGATGATTGTTGAGGCCGACTTCGTTGTTCCCGATGCTGCCGTTGTTTCCGCCCCCATTGTTTGTGCCGGCGTCCGCCGTCTCGTCCGCCTCGTCGGGGAGCATGGGGAAGACCACTTCCCCGTCCGCATCCACTGTGACATTTTCCTGAACCTGCAGAATGTCAATGTCCATGTCCTGGCTGTTGTCGTTGGCCGCCAAGGGCGAGTTGCTGTCCGAGGGGACTGTGGTGGCATTGGACAGAGTCAGAGCAGCAGCCGCAGCTGCAGCTTGCACAGCAGCCGCGGCTGCCGCCGCCTGGGCAGCCTGATCGAGTATCTCGTTCTCTGGTATGGAGATCAGACGTTGCGACAGATTCTGCAGCAGTCTGTGAAGGAGAACAGAGTGGGTTAGTACTCCTCAAGCGTCAGCGCCACTGAGCCCGAACTTACTTTTCCAAGTGTTGCAGCGCATGGTTCATGGGCGTATGGTCCGGGACTCCAGCATTGTTGCCGCGCACAAAGTTGTCAAAGCAGCTAAATGTCTTGAACTCCATGCTGAAGCAAGAGAATCGAATTCCTTTAGATATACGAGAGATTTGATGGCCGAAGATGCACTCACCGAACCGGCCGGATGACAATGATGTGGGATCGGGGAAACGCCTCGCGCAGCAGGATCGCCGAGTTCTCCAGGTTGTACTTCATGTAGCCGCGACTGTCCCGGTTCGTTTCCATGCTCTCCGGAAAGTCCTGGACGTCGCCGCCAAAGTAGACGATGGCCGTGGAGTCCTCGACATGCTGCGACTGCTGCCGCACAATTGGCGGACAGTAGACGATGTCATTGGCGCGGTTCTGGAAGCCGGCCACGGAGAAGATGCGGAACGGACCGGCCGAAGTGCTTGGCGTGCATAAACGCTCCCCGCTGCCGCCGCCAAGCATGCCCTCGAAGTTACGTATCCGCTCTTGAAGTTGCAGAAATTGATCAATGGTGAGCTGCGGGGGGCAGGGCAAACCATATATGGGGGATTAGGCGACATACTATTTGACATTCATCCGATCCTTCCTACCAACAACACTCTCATACACACACCACACACACACACACACACACACACCATACACTCTGGCCATTCCGGCCTAGTAGTAATCATTCTCGTAGACATCACGCGGATCGCCACAGCAGCCCACGAAACGCAGACGCGTGTCCTCGACACACAGCTTGGCGTCCTCCTTCATCTCCTTGAGCTTCACGTGAACCTCCTCGCGCATCAGGTTGCGACACATGGCCACTAGGCCCATGCCGAGCAGCATGTAGACGAAGTTGATGGCCAGCTTCGAGTGCTGATCGGCTATGGACTGCAGCTCCGAGAGCTCGTTGGGATCGGCGGCGATGTCCTCCTGCAACTTATGCGTGGCCGCATCCACATCGGCGGCGGTGGTCAGCGAAGCCCCAGGCACAAAGTCCCCAAAGCCAATTTTGCACAGCGACGTCATGCAGAAGTAGAAGCTGTTCAGAAAGCTCCACTTCTCCCAGTTGGCGAACATAATGGTCCCAGTCAGTACATAGAAGATGATCACCCACAGGCAGGCGGTGGAGGGGACGATGATCTTCTTGCGCAGCGTCAGAGCGCCCAGGCTGCCGTTCTCCAGGGCATCCAGTCGGGAATCGAAGTTGCGCTCCTGTGTACAGTCGTGCATGGAGCGATACAGAAACTTGAAGGAGCGCGCCAGGACGCGGCCCATGTTGAGGAAGTACAGAATGTAGAGAGGTATGCCGAAGGTGGCGTAGATTACGGTGAAGCCCTTGCCCCAGGGGGTGCGCGGCACCATGTTGCCGTAGCCAATCATTGTGATCACCGACAAGCAGAACATCAGGGCCGCCGGGAAGCTCCAGATCTGCTCGGGACTGCGGCCCACGTAGCCGTTCTTGATGATGCCCGCTATCTGGGCCTGGTACTCCCGCAGCACCGCGTTCGTCTCGTTGACCCACATCCGCTTGTCGATCAGGTTGTGCTCCTCGGTTATGTACCACAGCAGCTGCGAGCAGTTCTGTCGCAGCTCCAGCACATGGGCCGCCGTCTTGTCCACGTACTCCCGCTCGATGTTCATGAAGGCGAACGCCCCGCAGATGGCGTAGAGCACGATCAGGGCGCCCACGCCCACCTGCGTGCACATGAAGGTGACGAAGTTGCGGCAACAGCGCTTCACGCGCTTCCGGGGCTGGTTGCTCGGCGTTGAGGAGACGCTCGATGCTCCAACCCCCACGCCGCCGGGCGCTTGTGGGGAGCTTCTTCTTTGAAATTTGCTGGGCATTTCTGTTCGGTTTTGGTTTTTCTAATTTGATTTCCGTCTCTGCCGCTTTTTATCTCTCTCTATCTCTGGATGGCCCGACCGTCAATCCATTTCCATGATTATATAATGGATACCTTGGGAACTGGACGATGATGGCCCATCGATCTTAACTTATGAACTGGCTGAATGTTTATTGGCAGGCTCCTCGCATTGGCAATTAATTTGGCAGTGCTCTTCCCGATCTGCGATCTATTTGCTGCTGATTTGCGTTTTATATGGAGCGTTCGAACATTTAAAATCGGCACGAAGGCTAAAAATAAATCCACGCGTTTCCACACAGCATTTTCCTTGGACTCTACGAATGCTTTTGGGTTTCCCGAGCCCCAAACTGTTAGACGCGGGCGCCAAAATTCAACTGAGCTACGGGGATCCAAGAAAACTATTTGGAGAGAATATTGTATCTCTCGGATACAGAGAGAGAGAGAGCGAGTGGGAGACTGCAAGTTGGAGCGAATGAAATTCGTGGGGGGTTGCGGGGTAGAGGGGTGTTTTATTTGATGGACGAAGTAATCAAAATACCCCAGCGAGACAGGTGCAATACACACAGAAAGAGAGAGGGACGAGCAGGGGGGATGGGAATGCCGGGCAGAGTGCGCGGAAAAGTTCGTTTCCAGAGTGGGAGGCTTGTCTAAAAATTGATGGCAATTTGATTTATGATTCTGCGGCGGCAGCGAGCCAGAGCATTTCAAGATTGTGTTTTAGTATTTTTATGGGGTTATAAATTATTTCGGGGTGCGGAGCATCGCATTGGGTCGGAAGGAGGAAGACGAAAAAAGAGTAGCAAGCAAAACAAAATACAAGTAAATATAAACAAAGAATTAAAAAAAAACAAAAGGCATAATATTAACGCACACACGCGCAGAGGGAAACGGTAATGCGGCTACAGTGATACACAAGAAGAGGAAGAAGATCAAATGAATACGCAAAAACGGGGGGTGAAATGCGTAGCGAAGAGATAGATTTTTTCAACACCAATACACATATACAGCTGCACTCTGTCCAACACTCGATTCGCACACACACACACAGACACGACGCATACAAAATTTCACAAATTTATGCACAATTTTTCGGTGCTTTTCGCACATTATTTACTAGCACACAGGGTTTTCACTTCTCATTTACTTACGCTGTTTATTGTTGTTAACACAGACGCGTTAAAATAATGGCAATTTATCTGCACTTCCCGCGTATTTTGCTACTCTTAATGTTGTGTCGTGCGTCGCTGCACGGTTGGAAAAAGGTGGTAATATTAACAGTTGCTTTTATCCCTCCGCTCTCCGCCGAATCTAGATATTGGCCTAGCCAAATGCAATTTCTCTAAGATTCTATTTCACTCTTTTTATTTATTATCATTTTGGCTTAAACGCAGAAAAAATTTCGACTTGTTTACGGACGAGCAGTGTGAGCAGTCGATAAAATATACCGTCCGACCCTCAGAAATATACCGAAACATACCGCCTCATTTTCAAAATATACCGTAAATATACTGATGAATTCAAGTTATATTTAACATATTCCTCGTTTTTGATATTCCGACAAATATTACTAACTATATAGAACATTTAACCATGCCATCATAATTTTATTCGATTAATGAATCATTTTTCTATTTAACTGGTGTATTCTTAATACTTGTATTTATTGCATTTTGCGTAAAAAGAAGTTTTAGCGAAATAAGTCAAACAAAAAACAAGTAGCGAAATAGGTCAATCAAAACAAACGAAAAAGGAAATTGCTCAATTTTGATATTCCATTGAATAATGTTGACTAACTAAATCTCTCAGCAATGCCCACTTAGTTTTATCCCATTGATGAATAAATTTTCTACAAGATTTGATAGTTTTTAATCCTTGCTTTTATTGTACTTTTTGGAAAAAGGTTTAAACGAAAAAGTTCAACAAAAAAAGAGTCGCTATATTGCGTGTAAGCCGTAGTAAAGGCTTTTGTATACCCTATTTTGTTAATTTTATATGAAAGTATAAATATTGATATGAAGATAAAACGTAACTAATAAAGAACTTTTCTCAAATTGAAATTTTTTAGACATATTCATGTATATGATGAGTGTTTTGTATATATATCTCGATCCTGATACCTATTCTTGGTCTCTACAAGCTTTAAAATATCGTTGAAATATTGAAAATAATATTAAATAATATTGAATACAATTAAAATATATTGAAAATAAATTGTTTTTGCCTGGGATGACAAACATATTCACAGTTCTATAACATCCATTTCCCCCAGGGTATGTGAGCATGGAATTAGCAACATGTTTATGTAATTGCTGTCAATCGGGTAAAAGAGGTCCTTACCCGATTCAAGTTCGGTTATCGATACTAGTACCTGGTTACGAGTGGTGCGCGCCAAATGTAACTTTTTTGAATGTGAGCGACAAGGATTTAAATGTTGTCAAGCGGGCCATAACCGATTCAACAAATACGACGATTCCCTCAATTTTGATCTTCCGTCACTCTTTTTATTTATTATCATTTTGGCTTAAACGCAGAATAAATTTCGACTTGTTTACGGATGAGTCTTATCGATAGCCTGATATCGGTATAGACGGTGTATCGTCAGTATTTTTGGTTTATGGTTTTTTGTTACTTACTAATGGGAATTTCATTTTCCCATTAGATAGGAAACTGTATTTTGTTTTTTTAGCTGATAAGAAACGGTTTTGGAATTTTCGAAATTCTATTGCAGACAAGAAGTCTATTTTCAATGGATTTATCGATGGTGACCCTCAGAAATATGCCGAAATATACCATGTAATTTTTTAACTATACCAGCATCAAATGATGAACGATCTTAGCCCACTTAACCCCCCTTTATTCAAACAGGTCAACAACTTGAGGTACCCGCGAAAAAATGTACTGTTTGAAGAAAAAAGTTAAGAAAATACGCTGTTTTTTTATATTTCTTGGTTTTATTAATAATACCATACAATTTTTTCAGTGGAGAGGTAAACATTAGTATTGCACCAACGACCTCAATATATGATTTGACCTCAATGATACTCAATACATTTAAAATTTAAATCCTTCACGGAAGTTAATTTTTGTTTCAGCTGAGCCCGTGTGCTTTTTGAAAACTGAATTGAGACTACGAATTTTGAGAGCTTACTTCGGCTAATCTTCTGCTTAACGACGCTTAATGTTTTTCCGGCATTTCCACCCGTCCAACTTCTTCTTGTAGTTGATCATGGCAAGACAAGCTTGCGATTTCCAATTGTCTTTCTCCTTCTCGTCCATCCCCCTCCAGATCTCGCCCCCACGTTTGCCCATTTGGGGGACGGTGCAATTGGGATGCTCCATCTTTATGCGCTGACGTCCTTCGACGTTCATCCACATCACATATGACGGAGCGGGACGTTTAGGTCGAGAAGCCATGCTGATATTCAAGATCAAGTTGTTGGCTTTAGGACATTTGGTGGGAGAAACGGAAAAATATATATATATATATTAGTTTTGCAAACTACTAGCCTACTGTGAAATTGAAAGCTACAAAAATTCTTTTAGTTTTGTAACAAATAATTTGTTGGTCGAGGTTACAGATACTAACGTTATCTTTTAAAATTGCAAAGAATGATAAGCAGCCTACTGTTTATCCAAAAAAGGACTAAATTAATAAAACAAAATTTTTGAAAAAAAAGTTTGTGTGGAGTTTTCAGTGTTTGTTGAGATGTACATATGTTGTGTTCCCAATGAACGCTAACGACATACTGAAAAAAAATAGTGAAAATTATTTTCAAAGGCATCGGATAATCATAGACACAGCCTACTTTTGAGTAAAAACTGATCTACGAGTATCTGGCTGAACATTTTCACAGTACCGTTTTTCAGTTGTGAGTTTCGAAAATTTGATCACAATCAGGTTGCCATTAAACAATAGAAATACATTTATAATGACTGTCAAATCTCATCTGTTTTAATCAATTTTTGTCAAATATGGATGATTAGTGCCTTGGATTGTAGCAGAATATCCTTCCTTCCTGGTCTTCCGCAGATCCAAACCGTTTGGGCGTCCAAGAGTTGTTTGTTGTTGTAGGTGAAGAAAGCGATGGATAAAGATGGTGTACTTCCACTTGGGGGCGGGATTTATGTCGGGAGGAAAGAGGTAAACTGATTGTATATTCCCCTTCCTGGTGTCGGACAGATCGAGCACACCCATTGCACGGGTGTCAGCGTAGCAAGCCCTCAATTATTTCCAGGTTTTCCTCAATTTCCAGTTACTGCGGTCGGTTCTCTGGGTATTTCATTAATCATCTACTATAAAATCTAATCTAAATAAAATCTAGCTCGCTGCAGTATAAGATCACAGCAGAAACATTTTCTAGGAAATACCGTATACTGTGCGTCATTTAATTGGTCCCACCCAAGCTGGTACCTTTTCCCCTTCAATCACAATCACACCTTGTGATCATACTATCTGTATCATACTATGGCAGCTATATATTTATCAAAACTTTGCGGGTTATGTACGAACTATAGAAACAATAAAGACTTTCTCAGAGTAGCCTTTTTTTATGTTTAATCTAGTACTCCTCAAGGAAGGGTATAGTTATACTAAGAATATATTGCTTTATTTTGCTCCTGGTACTTTCGGAGCTCCAAAACCATTTAAATACAGTTAAAAAAAGGTAACAAACCAAAAGCTTTCACGCTCCCCGGGATTCAGCAAATGCCCGTTAAACGTGCGAGATTTCTAGCAATAAAATCGTGTGGCTCGCAACAGAAGGTGTATCCTGCCGTCCCCTCGTTCCGTACATTAAGTCCGAAGTTTCGGCATGGCAATTCTCTGCAAACGTTCGATACAACTTGTCCAGTCGGCCGTGTGGTTGCATGTGCGTTGTTGTAGGTGAGGAAAACGAATTTGCGGCCTGATATGTGGCTTACAATTTTGTATATCCACTTGGGAATGGGATTCTTATTGTTGTTAATCAAAAACATTGGTATGTCAGCGCGATAAGTGCTCGAGTACAGCTCGAGCACCCCCAATACACCAGTGCAGACTTTTAAAGCATCGAAGTGTCTCTCAGACAACTGTCGGCGTACCCAGTTCTCGATGGTTTTCCAGTTCCCGCGGTTGATGGTTTTGAACTGTGGTATCAAATTGATGTACTTGTTGGTCTGTCCTCTGCTTGCCTTAAAGGCAAAATCAAGGGATGGCGTCAAATGGCCCCGATCGAACATATTTGTGCTAGATGCAAAATAAGTCTGGTGTCCCAAGAGTGCATTGTATCTGGAAAAGATCTGAGTGTTCTGAAAGGATGCCGCAGCTGCTCCACTGATTATGCGGTCAGTATTAAAATGCATTGGACGCTCCACGGCTAGACAGAGGCGCAGATTAGTTGATATTTCCAGTTAATGACCGTTGATCGAACCAAAACTTACCCGACTTGCTGGTCTGGGCCATGTAAATGGTAAAATGCGCTTGAACTTTATCAGGATTGTAACAGCTTCTGTAGATCTCTAGAAATGCTAAATTTTTGAACCTATAGCCCACACGATACATCTTGTAAGGACAACTGGCATCGTTGACCTCTTCCACTTTTGGGGTTGTGGGCTTTTTACAACCAGCTGTGGCTAGTACTGGGTGGAAGCCATTTGCAGTGCATGTGGAAATTACTATATCATTGTAATTGCAAATCGAGTGTACTTGTGCACTGTTAGGAACTACATCCTTACGAAAGAGATGATAGCTCAAACCATCTCGTGTGGCAAAAACCCTATTAGTCTGCGATAGTTCATGTTGGCTAAGCACGCAATCAGCCCGAGCGTTTCCGAGTACTGCAAAGATAAAGGATCTCGAACAAAATATATGTATGTACAATTTACAGAGAGACTTACAAACAAATAGACTAAGACTTAGAAAGCGACACCGCATGTTGATCATCCTCACAGCTTGGGCTTAGAGCTACAACTGATGACCACTTGAGAGATTGTCTTTATTGTAATACTCAATTTCTTGAACCTGATGATAAACTAAGTTTCGCGGAAGTTCACAAATCAGTGTTTTTAATGGGAAATTCTTTACTCGGTCTCAAGCAAGGCACTGTGGGTCAAAAAGCTTCTCCTTGTACGAATAATTGTTCGTTATTGTTCCGCTTTCGACGACGTTGTGGACTGCGACTAGCAAGAAAAGTTCGAAGCAATGGAATATATTGTGTGTAGGTGTATGCACTGAGAGCGTAATTAGAATGAGCGCGATAATAGACTGTTTAAGAGAATTCGGATACAAGATCAAGAGCAATGACTCAGTCCGAGTGTAAACAGGTGGTCGTTTCAAGTTGTAAGCAATATTGGCTCATATCCATATTGTGATTTAGAAAATATTCCAGTGAGCTAACCGAAAAAAAGATTCTAGCTAGTTTTCGAACAAGAGAAATCTAAGTTGCATAATATTGTGAAGACTGTAGTAAATGCAGAGAATGTAGTGGAACTTAGCATAATAAAGATCTTCAAAGAATATAGATCATAGCTGCGGTATTTTTCTAAAAACTTAACCACTGATATCTAAGCATGATCCAAAAACGCTGTTACATTGAGTCCAAATTCCAGGAGATATTACGTGTTATTCAAACGGGACTTAGAATTAAATGATAGGAATTCTTTCTCGTTATTGGTCATCGAACCTAATATGATGCGAAAGGTGCAGCTGAAAGGCTCATCGCAGTTTGTATCAAATTTTGTTTATTTTTTCCTGAATTTAAATATTTGGAAAAATATTCATATTGCTAACAAATTTTCTTTAAATTTTTCTACATCTTCCTGTAAGCTCCAATTTATGTTATATTCAATACTTTGGAAAGTATAGGTTTTCTTCTGATATATTGATCATTTCACACACTTTGCGATATCGGTGTATTCAGAGGCATCGACAGCGTCTTCGAATCGATCCAGGACGTAATCAGGATGTAGAATCAAAACGGATTAAATCAAATCAAATTGGATCGAACCAGATCAAATCACAAAAATACTATAGCCAGAATGAAGAAGAAAGTTTCTTGTGGCACAGCCCCTTCTATGTTGATTCGATTTTTGATCGTAGAAACGGTTGAGAAGTCCGTATTCAGCAATAGAATTCAGATTTCAGAACTCAGTTAATAGTCATCTTTAAAACTTTTTCAAAAACTTCCATTTGCAATGTGTAGTTCATTTGATGAATGTGGTACAGATGAACAATGGACATACTATTTTGCAAAATGGAACATCGGCTGGGGAATATTTATTCTAATATTTTGCCTACTATTCATTGTTAGCACGAGCTCGGATAAGTCGATAGAGATCATTTCTGAGAGCACGGAGAATGGAGTATTGGAAGAATCGAGATTCAATATACTTCCAATTCTTTCTTATGGGTCCTGTATATTTGCGGCATCATACATGGTGTCTGGACTATTGATTATAATTGGCGATTCGAAAGTGAGCTAACAATTTCTCCTTTCCAGCAAATATTCAAACATTTTACTCTGTAGAGTAAGAAAACCATGTTCACTATAGGGAAGTACTTAAGCCATTTAATGCCGTGTTGGGGTTTCCTCACCGTATTTTTACCAAGTATGTATTGGATCGAGTGGTTTTTGATATGGATATTGATTCCTTGTATCTGATTCAGTTGTGCATTTCATTTTCTTGCGCAGAGTGTGCAAATATTACCGTGCGCGCTGGCGATGATCCTCTTCTTCGAAATTCTTCGTCTTCAGAGTACTGGTATGGCTACCTCCGGTTTCAAGAATATCTGCTTCATGTTCCGTATTGGCTCTTTTATTCCTTAACAAGGAGTAACTTCAACTCAAATGTAATTAAACACCTACGACAATGGTCATGCGATCATATTCCTCAGCGACAAACCGCTGGGCATGCATTTTTTTACCCACACAGGAAGGTACTCGACACAAACAGACATACTCGCACACTCTCTCCCACTCACCCCACTGATCTTTCAATACACGATAATAATAAGTAATAATTTAATAATTTTACCTGGCGGGGTAAGAGGCGGGGATCGCGGCATAGAAGTCTGTGCCCAAAGAGGGTCCCAGCAAGACAATCGATGCATGACGCTGCTTGACACTTCGAGCACCGACACCTGGCAGCGAAACCGAATTTTAACAAACTTGACCATCGGGGGCGCTCTAGTGACAAACAAAGTCATTATTAGTTACTTTTTAAATCAGCTTGGAAAGCTTGAAGTCCATCGATCCACCGTACCCATATTTTGAAGTGGTCCTTGTGCCAAAGGTAGAATCGTTGTGCCTCAGAGCGTACTTGAGCCTCCGCAACGATTTCAAAAAGCGGTTGGTCGTTTGCAAAATACAGATTTCCCCTTCAGGTGTCGCTTTTGATAATTACATAGACATGTAGTTATTATGTAGCGAATGTGTAGATATCTTGTAGTTACCTTTCAAGGAAATGAATTTTGTTTTATAATCCAAAAAGGATAAGAAGAGTTTAAATTAGCCTTAGCCAATAGAATAAAATGATGTGTTTAATAATAGTAATATTCAATGGAATATCAAAATCGAGAACTATTTAATTTTATTATTTATTCAATTCAAACAAATGCATATATGTACATGTCGTCTGATGACACTTAGCTGCAACAACGAAATAACGATTTGATTATTTAAAATAATAATAATAGGTGCAGGGCTCCATCGTAGTTAAATTTTTAAACCAGGACCACGTATGTACATGATGCTCGCTCCAATCATCAACGCGCTCGGCGTATGAATTTGGTCAAGGACACGGGCAGCACCGACTTGTAGTATTTGTTTAGGACTGAAGGTCCTTAATAGTTAGTAATATTCAATCCAAAATCAAAGTCAAGAAATATGATGAGATATATAAATGTTGTAAAATTTGAGACGTGTATGTTAGTAAACCTGATCATATATTAAACTAAAAAATATACAATAAATACTCGTAATTGTGTGTAAGAATTACAGTGCCCTGCCAGTGAATTTTCCACCATTTTATAATTGTTGTGCTGACGACATCATTTGAGCATATCGCCAAGTGTATCTTCCTTTTGATAATTTTAATTGTTTGGTTGATATAGTTTATTCATTCGATTTGGTTTCACTTATATTTAATATGTACTCTTATGTTTATATGAGAGACTGGCAGTGACTGAGACTGACGGCAATATGTATCAAGCTCTATGGAACGACACAAAATTCATCTATGTCAAGTATTTCAACGTCGATCCCACTACCATCCTTCCATCAATCTTAGTAAGAGCTGTTTCGGTCAATCATCGATACCATTCCTAGGTGATATGAGAAATGATATAGATTAGAATATATCATAATGTTTTGTAAGTAAGAATTTACCTTGATATTAATATTAGCGGATTCTCTAGCCAGAACAGCGCTCTTGGTATCTCCGGCTCCCGACGCAAATCTATCTTTGAGTACGGATGCAAGCGACACAGCTGTGGGTGTAGCACTCCATAAAATCTTCAACGAAGAATTTCAGCCAAGAGAGCAAATAATTTGTAACGCGGAACCGATACTATATCAAATAGAGCGTTCATAAGACGTTCTGTGTCGTTGTGAGAAAGTCAATTAGCTGATAAGGAAAGACTGCGATTCATCGGCAAGGGCCGGGCAGCAAGTCATCGGGGGGATGGACGTTCTGAAAACTTGATGGATCGGTCAATTATGCACCGTGTCCCCGGGTTTTTGATCCAGCAATTATGCAAGGCAGGCGACTTGACGACTGCTGATAAGCCTGGAAGTTTGTGAAGAACCTTCCTCGTGGCAGTCACTTGACCGGTCGATCAGTTCATCAGCTGCGCCACAACGGTGCGGAGCCCACACCGGAATTGTACCTCGAAAAAAAAGGATCAAAAAAGTAGCTAAAATGCCCAAGTGGTGGAGTTCCGGCCCCAAACAGGAGACCGACAGCATCTTCCGCAGCGAGGTGATGTCCTTGGTGCAGATGTTTCTGCAGCCGGAGGCAGCCTACGACACGCTTGCCGAGCTCGGCGAGGTGGGATGTGCCCAGTTTCGTGATGTAAGTCGGGATGTGAGAGGTGTTTGAGGGTCCTTTGTGCTTACCGATCGTTATCCCTGCAGATGAACACGGGAGTGAACGCCCAGCAGCGGAAGTTCATCGGGGAGGTGCGCCGTTGCGATGAGCTGGAGCGGAAGATCCGCTATGTGACCGTCGAACTAGAAAAAGACGGGCACAAGGTGCTCGACCTGATGGACGATTTCCCGCCTGCTCCAAAGCCCCGCGACATTATCGAGCTGGAGACGCACCTGGAGAAGACGGAGACAGAGATCATGGAGCTGGCTGCGAACAACATCAACCTGCAGACCAGCTACCTCGAGCTGACAGAGATGATCCAAGTGCTGGAGCGGACCGACCAGTTCTTCTCGGACCAGGAGTCGCACAACTTCGACCTGAACAAACGCGGCACCCACCAGGACCCGGAGAAGTCAAACGGAACCCTGGGTTTCGTGGCCGGCGTCATCAATCGCGAAAGGGAATACGCCTTCGAGCGCATGCTCTGGCGCATCTCTCGCGGCAACGTCTTCGTCCGCCGCGCAGAAGTGGACGTGCCCCTAACGGACCCCCGCACGGGCAGCGTCCTGCACAAGAGCGTCTTCGTGGTCTTCTTCCAGGGCGACCAACTGCAGGCCCGCATTCGCAAGGTGTGCACTGGCTTCCACGCCCACATGTATCCCTGTCCCAGCTCGCACGCGGAGCGCATGGAGATGGTGAAGAGTGTGCGCACGCGCCTGGACGACCTGAAGGCCATCATCAGCCAGACGGAGGACCACCGCAACTGCGTGCTCAACGCGGTGGGCAAGCAGCTGCCCAAGTGGACGGCGATGGTCAAGAAGATGAAGGCCATCTACCACACCCTGAACCTGTTCAATGTGGATCTGGGCAACAAGTGCTTGATTGGCGAGGCCTGGGTGCCCAAGCGGGAGCTGGAGCAGGTTGAGGCGGCACTCGCCGCGGGATCGGCCACCGTGGGCAGCACCATCCCCGCCTTTCTCAACGTGCTGGACACCAAGAAGGACCCGCCCACCTACTACAGGCTTAACAAGTTCACGCGTGGCTTCCAGAACCTGATCGACGCCTACGGAATCAGCAGCTACAGGGAGGTGAACCCGGGCCTGTACACCTGCATCACTTTCCCCTTCCTGTTCGCGGTGATGTTCGGCGACATGGGCCACGGCACCATCCTGTTCCTGCTGGGCCTGTGGATGGTACTCGACGAGAAACGCCTCTTGAAGAAACGGGGCGGAGAGATCTGGAACATCTTCTTTGCGGGTCGCTACATTATCCTTCTCATGGGATTGTTCGCCATGTACACGGGCTTCCACTACAACGACATATTCTCAAAGTCGATAAATGTGTTCGGCTCCCACTGGGTGAACGTCTATAATCGGACCACCGTGCTTACCAATCCGACGCTGCAGTTGAACCCCTCACTCGCCACTCGCGGAGTCTACCCCATGGGCCTCGATCCCGTGTGGCAGTCGGCCACAAACAAGATCATCTTCCTCAACACGTACAAGATGAAGCTGTCGATCATCTTCGGGGTGCTGCACATGACCTTTGGCGTGTGCATGTCGGTGGAGAACTTTGTGTTCTTCAAGAAGTATGCGTACATCATCCTCCAGTTCGTGCCCCAGGTGCTCTTCCTGCTCCTCATGTTCGGCTACATGTGCTTCATGATGTTCTACAAGTGGGTCAAGTATAGCCCGACCACCGACATCTTGGCTGACTCCCCGAGCTGTGCCCCCTCCGTTCTGATTATGTTCATCGACATGGTGCTGTTCAAGACCGAAACCGCAGTGCCCGGCTGTGAAGTTAACATGTTCTCCTTTCAAAAGGAGCTTGAAATGACTTTCTTGTTCTTGGCCATCATCTGTATTCCATGGATTCTTGTCGGCAAGCCCCTTTGGATCAAGTACCAGCGCCGAAACAGGGTGAGTTATTCGATTAGCTCCTTACAAAAGAAAGTTATAGGAAGGGTCCATCAACTCTATTCCTTAGCCGGCTGAGCCCGTGGTACAGGTAGATGAAATCGTGGAGAAGATCGAGGTCTCTGGGAAGGAAGTAATCATCACGGAAGTGGCCGAGGCCCACGAGTCCGGTGGCCACAATGAGGACGACGAGCCGATGAGCGAGATCTGGATACACCAGGCTATCCACACCATCGAGTACATCCTGAGTACCATCTCCCACACAGCCTCCTATCTCCGTCTCTGGGCCCTGTCCTTGGCCCATGCTCGTAAGTCCCACATATTGTATCCGAGTTGGGTCAGCACTCTATTGAAATATTCCTTGCAGAGCTCTCGGAGGTGTTGTGGACCATGGTCCTGGCGATGGGCCTGCAAATGCAGGGCTACACCGGAGCCATTGGGCTGTTCATCATCTTCGCCGTCTGGGAGTTCTTCACCATCGCCATCATGGTGATGATGGAGGGTCTGTCTGCCTTCCTGCACACCCTGCGCCTGCACTGGGTGGAGTTCATGAGCAAGTTCTATACGGGAGCAGGCCATGCATTCACGCCCTTCTGCTTCAAAGACCTGTTGACCGTGGTCGATGATGACTAAAAAGGGTACATACGAAATGTATTCCTAATCTAAGAGGGCCACCAGGTCCAATAATAAACAACGCATTCCAGAATTAACAACGGCTATTTTTTTATCATTAACAATACAAAATAATTAACCATAGCTGTCAGTCTTTAAGGGGTTTCAAACGTTCGGTATTTAATCGTTGTATTAACATATTTTTAAACGTATCCCAGAAAATGATGTAAAATGCATGGTCTCAATACAGCCTTCGTGTTGTCGTTAAGTAATTTTCCATGACCAAGGTTTTGTTACTTTAATATCCCGTCCATTGTTAGAGCAAGCCAAATCCTGTAACAGCAAAAGCAAATGGCTCGAACGGCACTCGATTGAATTAACTTACCAAAAGACTCCAATTACTTACTTCTTTCAATTAAAATCAAAGCAATCCACTGATCCGTGTGTTGACTGAAAAATGAAATGGAAGAGTTCCCCGACAACCCCGAAAACCTCCCCCCGAACCCAGGCCGAACCTAACGATTTGAATTGTGCTTCCAAGTAAGGACGTGGTCATGAAGGGCCAAACATGAAACGAGTGTTATTGATATATGTAATAATAATAATCATAAATTTTTATTTGGTTTTACTTGTTGGTTGTTTGACATTTAAATGCTGCTAGTGAATTATATATTTTGATTTTAGCTTGAATAATTTGAAATATATATTTGCCTGTTTAAATATATATACTATATATATATATATATATCTTAATGGATTGATTTATTTAAACTGGTAGACGACGAAAAAGTGTTGATAATATTTGCCACTGAACGCATTGGCCATTGTGGCTGTATGGCTGTATGGCTGTATATTTGCATATTGATTAATCGAATTTGTAAATGTAGAGCGGAAAAAATAGTTGCAACTCGCTGTTGTTGTTGTTGTTGTTGTTGTTTTCGTTGCGGTTCCCTGCGATGCACGATGGTGGTGGTGGACTCCACGGAGCAAACCCAGCTCTTCAGCACACTCCGTCCGCCGGAGTAGGGCCCTGCCTGCCCCTCAATTAGCCGATTACAATGATGTATAAAAATACTTTGTGTTCGATATATGTTCGTATGCTTACGGGTATGTAGGGGATAAAGATTTTAAAAAATCCAGCTACGCTCCTCTACTTTTCTTTTGGTTTCTGCTGGTCTTTCTTTTTTTGTGGTTTTTTTTTTTATATAATTTCATATTTATTACATTTTTGGTACATAAATCTGTGTGTAGTAGTGATTTGCCTTAACATCTGTGCTATGTTGTGGTGATTCTGTTTCTGTTTCAGTTTTCTTGTGTGTGTTTTTCAGTAGTTTATTGGCTTAAAGTGTCGCAACTAAATCAACGTAAAACTAAATAAAATTATCATCTTGCGCGCATATGTATGTATATATTTTCTCGCAAATATATGTATACAGTACACACACACATGCATACGAGTACAACGAAACAGAGCACGGAACTTAAAATTAGGAAATCAAGTATGTATGTATGTAAAATGTAGGGTCTAAAGTTAAGGTAAAAGTAAATTTAGGGGAAGGGTTAACTAGAAATAATTTTATACATTTTGTGCTTTGGACCGAAAGATAACAATTTTGAATAAATCTATAACAAAAATCTTCACCTAGATAAATGTCCAAAGGGGCAGCAACCTTAGCCAAATGTTGCCTCTCCTTTTCATTTCCCATTTTTTTTTTATTATTTTTTTGAAAGTTTTTATGTAAAGTTTTGTGCCGAAAATATCACATTGAATTTTATATGTTATTTTGTTATATTATAGCTTGTTGCTTGTTGCCTACTTGTTTTGCGCCGAAACATAATTTTGTCTATCACAAAATGTTTAAAATTAATTACTTTTGCCGTCTCTGCGGGGACGTATCCAAGAAGCCGGGAAGTCGCTAAATATATGTAAATTGAAAATTACAACGAATATTTTCCAATTTTGTACCGATTGAGCAGACAGTTATATTTCAAGAATTTCAAAACATAATTTTTATGGTTTTTTTTTCATATTTTTTTTTTTTTTTTGTTACTTTAGCTTCCCATATCATCTGATTTCCATTCTCATTTCTATATGTATTCTTGTGTACTTTAACTAAATAATCATTTGACCATAAATATAAACAAAGCTTAACAAAAAAAGTGAGGTGGTTCAAGTGGTTCAACCTAATCCTAAAGAACTTAAACTTAACGGACACGATAAAATCAGAAATTTGAGGGGAACAGATCGAACAAACTAAAAAAAAAAAAACAGAGGATAACTTTGGAGAACTATTAGCTAGACAATCGGAAAAGATTGAAATAATATGTATAAAGTGCTAACGATTACATAGATTAAAATTAAGCAATCAACAATAAAACTGAAATGCATTTGAGGTATATGAAAATTTCTTTGTAGTTGGTTGAGTAGCCCCATCGCATACTCCGCAGAACGTATTGTTAAAATTACATCGTATCGTATATATATGGTAAGATAAACTAAGCTCTAATGTGACCTTTATATGAGTAGTAATTGTGGGTGACTGTGGTAGTTCTTGTTGCTGTTGTTGGTGGTCTGCTGTTGGTGTGTTGGTCTCTCCAACAAAGTAACGCCTACTGAATCAACCTAGTGTTTTCTCTGCTGCGACTTCTCTTCATTATAATAGTTACTAGTTTTAGTTAGGAAACAACATTTAGAAACCTTAAAGTTGGTTTGTTGTAGCCCTAGAATATGGTTACATCCGTTCTACTTGAACTCCTTTTGTTCTGTCCCCGTCGTAGTTCGGGGGAACTCCCTCCCTTAGTTAGCAACTGAAACCTTTCCTGGTTGATATTGTTTAGTTATACACATTCATATAGCCTGGTATATATAGTATCTATAAGTTGATGGGATCATGTTAGAAGGACAATCTTTCAAAGTTTATCAATAGCTATAGTTAGTGTTAGCATTATCGCTATAATGTTTATGCGTAGCGCAGCTGTTGGCCTGCCGTAGGATTAAGTTTTAGCATCTTCGGTTCTACTAGTTTGGGTTATTGCTTGGGTAGCTCGGATGGGTCTGGGGCAATGTACAGACGACTAAATGCAAGAAGATCCTCTAACGAATTGCGAGAACCCTAGGAAAAATGACATCCTATACTTTGGAGAGGAGCAGCGATCTACACGAATCTGTCGCTCTGTTTGAATCTGTATCTATAGTTGCTGTTGTAGTAATCCTGTTGCTGTTGCTGCTGCTGTTGGTGCTGCTGTGGCTGTCCTTCCTGGGGGTGATGGTGGCGTTGGTGGTAGCTGCGTTGGCCCGGATGGTGGCCCCGGCCACGCCCTTAAATGGACGAATTCAGCTTGAGCAGGCGATCCGGGTGCTTGACGCGCAGGTGCGACCGGAGCGTGTCGATCCGACTGTAGGTGGCCGGGCAGTATGGGCACATGGACCGCTGGGCGGTGTGGGAGTGGAAGTGGTGCCAGCGGTTGGTGACCTCCTTGCCGCACGAGCGACAGCGCCACATCGTTCCGGGGTCGCGGGACGGCGTGAACATGTTGTGATAGGACATGGTGTGATGTGAGTTGTGGCCCCCACCACCGCCGGCGCCGGTGGGTGTCGAGGCGCCACCCAGGGCGGCAGCCGCGGCCTGGGCCGCGCTGTATCCGTGCGCAGGCGGCGTTCCGGCGGGATTGTTGTGGCCGTTGCCGGCGGCGCGTATGTAGTGCAGCGGATGGTACTCGCTCTTGAGGGCCGCGGACAGGTGCATGCCGAAGACGGCCGGCGGCGGCGAGGCCGACGAGGAGGTCGAGAGCGGTGTCGAGAGGTGGTTCCGAGCGCTGGTGCCTGTGGTCGAGAACGAGAAAGAGAAGAACAGACACACAACAGCCCGTCGAGCGGGACGAAAATCAGCCCAGAGAAATAGATTTCGGTTTTTTTTTGGTATTTTTTTTGGTTTCAATTTTTGGTTTTTCGTATAATAGACAGAGATAGGAGAGTGTGAGAGTGAGTGTGTGAGAGAGAGAGAGCGAGAGAGACAGACTGATAGATAGACAGAGAGAGAGAGAGACATATGGCATAAGACAGAGGCAGAATTTCCTTTTTGTGAGCAAAAAATAATATACTTAGGCGGCGTAATAAAAAAAATATCAAACTAAGAAAAAAATACTAAAAAAAAAAATCTCAAACAAACTGGTCTAACTACAATCAAGCAACTTAGGTCAACAGAAAAAGATACAATTAGATATGTGGCAACAGATCGTGAATAACGGGAAACTCATGGCTCTTTATCCTATCTTATCGGAGCTGATCTGTGGGTCCCTCCAACATATTCCAACGTGCAAGTGAAATATTAATTTCGTTTTAAAGTATAATGCATAATTTACCTTCCTTTTCAAAGTAAGCATTTATATTATATTTATAGTCAAACAGTGCGCTGCAAAAGTAGACAATAGTTCCAACTGTTGTATACTCTTCAAACGCACTGTATACTTTAGTTTTTTTTTTATAATAAACTTATAAAATGCCTCCGTTTGTTCCTCAGAATCCTTTTTAGTTGGTATTTTTTGATTATATTCAGGTATTTTTTTAAATTGTATACAAATGAAATTAGTCACAATCGGCGCATACATAGAGGTGTATTTATGATATATTCAGTTATATGTAATAATATATATATTTGTAGCAAACAATTCTTGTACGAGTCTAGGCGTAAGTGCGAGTAGAACAAGTTCTGTAGGTGCTCTTCTCTTTCGCACATTTTTTTCTTTCTTTTTTTTTTTTTTTGGGTGTAACTCGTTTGTGCGAAGAATCGTCTGGCTTAATCATAACCAATTTTTGGGCTGAAACTCAAGGTAAAATTGCATACATAATAAATCTTAAAAACATATATATTTAGTTGGTAAAAGTAAGATATTCGTAAAAGTTAAAAAGAGTTTTACAAATTCAAATTAGAATAGAAAACAAAAAAAAAAAACAGGAAATTGGGCCGAGGTTTGAAAATTTTCTGTGTATGTGTTTGTGTGAGTGTGTGCGTTTTCTCGCGCATGTCTGTGTGTGCATGTGAGTGTGTATTGGCATATACTCGTTTATTCTTAAACTCTAGGTTCGACTTTTCATGGG